TTTCTACTGTATCACGTTCAACCTCTGCAACAACTAGAGCTGCAGAGAGCACAGAACCAGTAAGAAATGCAACAACAACTATTGGTTCGGTAACCACAAGTCCAGCATCTGCCACTACTGTATCTCCAGTAAGTAACCTTAACTCTACTGCAACAACTACATCCGATATCGATTCATCACAACCGTCTCCCAAACCATTGAGTGCAAACAAAAATATTCTATCTGTAATTTCTACTGAATCACCTTCAACCCCTGCAACTGGTTTGGTAACCACAAGTCCAGCATCTGCCACTACTGTACCTCCAGTAAGTAACCTTAACTCTACTGCAACAACTACATCCGATATCGATTCATCACAACCGTCTCCCAAACTATTGAGTGTAAACAAAAATATTCCACCTGTAATTTCTACTGTATCACCTTCAACCTCTGCAACAACTAAAGGTGCAGAGAGCACAGAACCAGTAAGAAATGCAACAACAACTATTGGTTCGGTAACCACAAGTCCAGCATCTGCCACTACTGTATCTCCAGTAAGTAACCTTAACTCTACTGCAACAACTACATCCGATATCGATTCACCACAACCGTCTCCCAAACCATTGAGTGCAAATAAAAATATTCCACCTGAAGTTTCTACTGTATCACCTTCAACCTCTGCAACAACTAGAGCTGCAGAGAGCACAGAACCAGTAAGAAATGCAACAACAACTATTGGTTCGGTAACCACAAGTCCAGCATCTGCCACTAGTGTATCTCCAGTAAGTAACCTTAACTCTACGGCAACAACTACATCCGATATCGATTCATCACAACCGTCTCCCAAACCATTGAGTGCAAATAAAAATATTCCACCTGAAATTTCTACTGTATCACCTTCAACCTCTGCAACAACTAAAGGTGCAGAGAGCACAGAACCAGTAAGAAATGCGACAACAACTATTGGTTCGGTAACCACAAGTCCAGCATCTGCCACTACTGTATCTCCAGTAAGTAACCTTAACTCTACGGCAACAACTACATCCGATATCGATTCACCACAACCGTCTCCCAAACCATTGAGTGCAAATAAAAATATTCTACCTGTAATTTCTACTGTATCACCTTCAACCACTGCTACAACTAGAGCTGCAGAGAGCACAGAACCAGTAAGAAATGCAACAACAACTATTGGTTCGGTAACCATAAGTCCTGCATCTGCCACTACTGTATCTCCAGTAAGTAACCTTAACTCTACTGCAACAATTACATCCGATATCGATTCACCACAACCGTCTCCCAAACCATTGAGTGCAAATAAAAATATTCCACCTGTAGTTTCTACTGTATCACCTTCAACCTCTGCAACAACTAAAGGTGCAGAGAGCACAGAACCAGTAAGAAATGCAACAACAACTATTGGTTCGGTAACCACAAGTCCAGCATCTGCCACTACTGTATCTCCAGTAAGTAACCTTAACTCTACTGCAACAACTACATCCGATATCGATTCACCACAACCGTCTCCCAAACCATTGAGTGCAAATAAAAATATTCCACCTGAAGTTTCTACTGTATCACCTTCAACCTCTGCAACAACTAAAGGTGCAGAGAGCACAGAACCAGTAAGAAATGCAACAACAACTATTGGTTCGGTAACCACAAGTCCAGCATCTGCCACTACTGTATCTCCAGTAAGTAACCTTAACTCTACTGCAACAACTACATCCGATATCGATTCACCACAACCGTCTCCCAAACCATTGAGTGCAAACAAAAATATTCCACCTGAAGTTTCTACTGTATCACCTTCAACCTCTGCAACAACTAAAGGTGCAGAGAGCACAGTACCAGTAAGAAATGCAACAACAACTATTGGTTCGGTAACCACAAGTCCAGCATCTTCCACTACTGTATCTCCAGTAAGTAACCTTAACTCTACTGCAACAACTACATCCGATGTCGATTCATCACAACCGTCTCCCAAACCATTGAGTGCAAACAAAAATATTCCACCTGTAGTTTCTACTGTATCACCTTCAACTTCTGCAACAACTAAAGGTGCAGAGAGCACAGAACCAGTAAGAAATGCAACAACAACTATTGGTTCGGTAACCACAGGTCCAGCATCTGCCACTACTGTATCTCCAGTAAGTAACCTTAACTCTACTGCAACAGCTACATCCGATATCAATTCACCACAACCATCTCCCAAACCATTGAGTGCAAACAAAAATATTCCACCTGAAGTTTCTACTGTATCACCTTCAACCTCTGCAACAATCAAAGGTGCAGAGAGCACAGAACCAGTAAGAAATGCAACAACAACTATTGGTTCGGTAACCACAAGTCCAGCATCTGCCACTGCAACAACTACATCCGATATCGATTCATCACAACCGTCTCCCAAACCATTGAGTGCAAACAAAAATATTCCACCTGAAGTTTCTACTGTATCACCTTCAACCTCTGCAACAACTAGAGCTGCAGAGAGCACAGAACCAGTAAGAAATGGAACAACAACTATTGCTTCGGTAACCACAAGTCCAGCATCTGCCGCTACTGTATCTCCAGTAAGTAACCTTAACTCTACTGCAACAACTACATCCGATATCGATTCAACACAACCGCTCAAACCACTGAATTGCAAACAAAATATTCTACCTGTAATTTCTACTGTATCACCTTCAACCACTGCTACAACTAGAGCTGCAGAGAGCACAGAACCAGTAAGAAATGCAACAACAACTATTGGTTCGGTAACCACAAGTCCAGCATCTGCCACTACTGTATCTCCAGTAAGTAACCTTAACTCTACTGCAACAACTACATCCGATATCGATTCACCACAACCGTCTCCCAAACCATTGAGTGCAAACAAAAATATTCCACCTGAAGTTTCTACTGTATCACCTTCAACCTCTGCAACAACTAAAGGTGCAGAGAGCACAGAACCAGTAAGAAATGCAACAACAACTATTGGTTCGGTAACCACAAATCCAGCATCTGCCACTACTGTATCTCCAGTAAGTAACCTTAACTCTACTGCAACAACTACATCCGATATCGATTCACCACAACCGTCTCCCAAACCATTGAGTGCAAATAAAAATATTCCACCTGAAGTTTCTACTGTATCACCATCACCTTCAACCTCTGCAACAACTAAAGGTGCAGAGAGCACAGAACCAGTAAGAAATGCAACAACAACTATTGGTTCGGTAACCACAAGTCCAGCATCTGCCATTACTGTATCTCCAGTAAGTAACCTTAACTCTACTGCAACAACTATATCCGATATCGATTCACCACAACCGTCTCCAAACCATGAGTGCAAATAAAATATTCACGAGTTCTACTGTATCACTCAACTCTGCAACAACTAGAGTCTACCAGAGAGCACAGAACCAGAAGAAATGTACAAACAACTATCTGGTTTCGGTACACAAGATCCAGCTCTGCGACTACTGTACTCAGTTAATAACCTAACTCTAACTGCAACAACTCAGCCGATATCGCTTCATCACAACCGCTCCCAAACCATTGAGTGCAAATAAAAATATCACCTGAAAATTTCTACTTATCACTGCAACCTCTGCAACAACTAAAGGTGCAGAGAGCACAGAACCAGTAAGAAATGCAACAACAACTATTGGTTCGGTAACCACAAATCCAGCATCTGCCACTACTGTATCTCCAGTAAGTAACCTTAACTCTACTGCAACAACTACATCCGATATCGATTCACCACAACCGTCTCCCAAACCATTGAGTGCAAATAAAAATATTCCACCTGAAGTTTCTACTGTATCACCATCACCTTCAACCTCTGCAACAACTAAAGGTGCAGAGAGCACAGAACCAGTAAGAAATGCAACAACAACTATTGGTTCGGTAACCACAAGTCCAGCATCTGCCATTACTGTATCTCCAGTAAGTAACCTTAACTCTACTGCAACAACTATATCCGATATCGATTCACCACAACCGTTTCCCAAACCATTGAGTGCAAATAAAAATATTCTACCCGTAGTTTCTACTGTAACACCTTCAACCACTGCAACAACTAGAGATGCAGAGAGCACAGAACCAGTAAGAAATGCAACAACAACTATTGGTTCGGTAACCACAAGTCCAGCATCTGCCACTACTGTATCTCCAGTAAGTAACCTTAACTCTACTGCAACAGCTACATCCGATATCAATTCACCACAACCGTCTCCCAAACCATTGAGTGCAAACAAAAATATTCCACCTGAAGTTTCTACTGTATCACCTTCAACCTCTGCAATAACTAAAGGTGCAGAGAGCACAGAACCAGTAAGAAATGCAACAACAACTATTGGATCGGTAACCACAAGTCCAGCATCTGCCACTACTGAATCTCCAGTAAGTATCCTTAACTCTACGGCAACAACTACATCCGATATCGATTCATCACAACCGTCTCTCAAACCATTGAGTGCGAATAAAAAATTCTACCTGTAATTTCTACTGTATCACCTTCAACCACTGCTACAACTAGAGCTGCAGAGAGCACAGAACCAGTAAGAAATGCAACAACAACTATTGGTTCGGTAACCACAAGTCCAGCATCTGCCACTACTGTATCTCCAGTAAGTAACCTCAACTCTACGGCAACAACTACATCCGATATCGATTCATCACAACCGTCTCCCAAACCATTGAGTGCAAACAAAAATATTCCACCTGAAATTTCTACTGTATCACCTTCAACCTCTGCAACAACTAGAGCTGCAGAGAGCACAGAACCAGTAAGAAATGCGACAACAACTATTGGTTCGGTAACCACAAGTCCAGCATCTGCCACTACTGTATCTCCAGTAAGTAACCTTAACTCTACGGCAACAACTACATCCGATATCGATTCACCACAACCGTCTCCCAAACCATTGAGTGCAAACAAAAATATTCCACCTGAAGTTTCTACTGTATCACCTTCAACCTCTGCAACAACTAGAGCTGCAGAGAGCACAGAACCAGTAAGAAATGCAACAACAACTATTGGTTCGGTAACCACAAGTCCAGCATCTGCCACTACTGTATCTCCAGTAAGTAACCTTAACTCTACTGCAACAACTACATCCGATATCGATTCACCACAACCGTCTCCCAAACCATTGAGTGCAAATAAAAATATTCCACCTGAAGTTTCTACTGTATCACCTTCAACCTCTGCAACAACTAAAGGTGCAGAGAGCACAGAACCAGTAAGAAATGCAACAACAACTATTGGTTCGGTAACCACAAGTCCAGCATCTGCCACTACTGTATCTCCAGTAAGTAACCTTAACTCTACTGCAACAGCTACATCCGATATCAATTCACCACAACCGTCTCCCAAACCATTGAGTGCAAACAAAAATATTCCACCTGAAGTTTCTACTGTATCACCTTCAACCTCTGCAACAACTAG